GGCTGATTTTCTCCATCCAAATTTGTAGTTACAATCTACCACAAACACACATTTGGAACAGTCTATCTCAGAAGTGGGCGGAGTTATCAGGCACCTAATACATAGAGTTAAATTGCTATTGTGTTCTAACAAACCCATCATGTAATGAAATACCAAGTCTGTAAATAATTTAAATTCAACAAAATAATATGAAGAATTCTAAATTTAGATTCAACAACATCTTAAAAATTCTATGGGGCTGGGGATAACAGTAAAACTTGGAACTGAATGAAATGAATGACTACAGCACAGTCGAGTGCACAGGTAGAATAGATCTACGAGTGTATTTCAATGGCACCATTAGTACTGATAAAATCTAAATCTCATAGTATTACATCCTGTGTGTAAAAATCCCTGAGAACATCAGTGAAAATTTACTTAAAAATTAACATCACAAGCAACACCAAGGTTAAGTGTTGTCACAAGGAAAAGAGAGACAACCCAGTTTTTCATGTCCGCAGTGCAGAAAAGAGAAGGAAAGGGCAAACGAGCGTGTGCTGGGTGCTTCCAATTTCCAACATTTTCATGCCCTGGCATTTCAATAATGATCCTGACAAATGGCAACCCTGCGGTTGCACCGAAACAGTTCCTTAACACTAAAAAAAGACAAAACAATAAAGATAGCACCATAATTAAAAACTTCTTGAAACAAAGCTAACTTAGTAGGTAAAAACAAGCCTATCTCTCTTACTTTTATGAGCAGACGTCTTAATGCAGTCTTACTGCTCTTTTGAATTTGAATGTACAATACTTTTGGTTCTTTTGCAAACAAAGAGATAGAACAAAAGTACAATTCTGACTCAGCAGGTCAAATATGTATCTAAATAATCTCATAGTACTTGTGTTTTAATTTACAGCTTTTCTACAGTTAGTTTTTCTAGTTACAAACAGAGTTACCACTTCATGATGTCCGTCCCCCTCCCCCTCACTTTTTCCTGCCCCTTACAAAATAGAACTCAAAGTATAGACAGAGCCCCATAAACAGCAAATGTCATGTTTATGTGTTCATGACAAAATCTGTAAATGTATACGTTCTTAGTGACGATTCCTGAGGGAAAGATGCAATAAATACAATGTAAACCACAAAATGTGTATATTCATTTCACAAATAGTATTATAGCAAAAGCAGTAAACCACTATTCCAATTAGGTATTCACTGGTCTAGGTCAAAGAAAGGATAAAATTAAAATTTATAGCTAGAGATTGTAGATGTAAATGGTATCAAAATAGTATTATGAGAACGCAAGTCCAATACAGCAGCTGACAAGCACTAGTCAAATTCCAAAGTATACTGGCTGCACGCACACACACCACTTACTGATCCCGAGACAAAAAGTGAATAAAAATTGAAAAAAAAAGGATGGCCCCCTTTAAAAAAAGATGATTGCTGTAGGCAGTGTGCAGATAGCACAGAATTTTTAATAAATGTATGTTCTGCTAAAAAAAGAGGGGGGGAGGGGGAGAGTGCGACACTAATTTACAAAACTCTATGTTACTGCAACAACAAAATAATGTATCAGTCTTTTCAAAATTGAGCTAAATAGTATTTATAATAAAAGGCCATCAATTCAATAGCAAGTGTTATGATAACATACATTTAATTTAGAGTTGTACTAGGAAAAGAAGTTTACCAATCATTTTTTATCATTCTTCTAAGTCAAGATAGGAAAGAATGAAAAATTGCATAGAATGTCAAATGTAGTAGGACATTTATCGGAATGGCTGAATCAGTTTCATCAACGTAAGTTTGCAACTAACATTTGCAGTAACAAGTGATGACAACCCAGAGCACTACAATAAATTATAAATTGTTAAGAAAAAGATGGAGTGCAAAGTGCAACCCAATTTTTCTTGCTTGAACCTTTATGTCATAGAGAGAACTCATCCTTCAAAGAGAGCTGTTTGCTGGTAGAATCACACTTAAATTATTTCACAAAAACAAATGTTTTTTTTCTTGTTGTTTTTTTGCCAACCCCTAAACATCATTGACTTTTAAATACAGTATAATATCACATTTTTGATGAATCTTGATATTCTTCAGATACACCATAGTATGGCACTTAAACATAAGGTAAAGCTACTACCTACTTAGTTTAAAATCACATTAAATCCTCTCTTACTATGCTTTGAAGGTGCGGACAATTCTAACAACAAATTGCCGGCAAATGGGACATTCACTTAGCTGCCGCCCGCAGTCAGTACAGGTAGCCATGTGACCACATTCTAACATAACACATTCAACGGGAGCATCCATACAAATCTTGCACAGCGCATCCATGTCAAGCTTCTCTAATTCTGAAAGCAAAAATGAATAAAAAATTAAAAGATTGTAAAAAGTAATGTAATAATAAATTTCTGTCTTTAGTGACGGTACATGTTAGTCAGCTAAAATCAACAATAACTGACTAATGTCAACATTAAAAGGATCAACATAACGAGCGGACGCGCGAGTTAATGTAGCGCATAAAAATGAAGAAAGGTTTTTATTAACAAACCTGCTCTTGATGAACAGTAGTCTCGATATAGCCGTTTTGCTTTATCAACTAATTCTGCTTTTTCACAACATCCAAAATAGTTAACTCGATGGCGATGCAGGATGTCTTTCAGCTGTTTAACTGAAAGACTTTCAAAATCAGCCTCTGAAGTGATTGAAGCCATTGTTCCTCGCAATAAATTCTATGGAGAGTCCAAAATATTTCTTAGTTAAGAATGTAAGGAGAAAATAGATAAAAAGTAAATGTAACCTAAAAGAACAGTTATAACTTACTGGGGAGTTGTTGGATGAATTTGATTCAGATGGTGATGACTGGCTATTAATATCTGATAATTGTTGATTCTCTACATTTGGAACATCAGTTTCAATGATGACTTCAGGAATTATGGAAGTTTCTGCATCAGCTAGAGAAGGCACAGGAATACTCCCTAGAAGAATAAAATTAAATTGTATTAAAGAGAGGAGCAC